TGGAGAATCTTTTGATACTTACCTTGAATTAATTTATGGTTCCATTAGTAATGAAGAAGAAGATGATGATATAGTTAGTGATGATGAGTATATTCTATCAGGTAAATCAAGACAGCATTAGCAATATGCATATCGTCATTTTCATTAACGAATGGTAAATAAGAAAAATAAAAGTAGACAAGCTTATAGGCAAATTAGTAAAATAAAAAATCAAAATTCAACTTTTAATTCAAATGAAATTAGTTTAGATGATATAAATACTGTAGAATATTTGCTTCCAGTAGATACTAGTAATTTGCTTCAAAAAGTTTGTGCAACTATTTTTTTATCTTTGGATGAACTTTGGACAATTCCATCTGATATTATACTTGTAGCAACACTTTTAGATCCACGTTTTAAAACTTTTGAATGGTGTAAGGGAGATGGTAAAGTTGAAGCTGAAATATTAGTTCGAGAGTTATATAATGATATAAAACAGGATCTTTTGCCTAAAAATAATGAAAATTTATTTAGCAATCCATCATTATTAGACGATAGTGATATTTTTAAAGCATTAGAAGATGATGTGCCATTAGAAGAGGAGGATGATGATGAGATAAATTTGTATTTGCAACAAAGAAAAATTGGACTAAATGATGATCCATTAAAATGATAGGTAGTTAACAAGAATAATTTTCTGATTTTGGCACAAATTGCACGAAAGTATCTATTAATTTCTGCAATATTGGTTTCTAGCGAACGATTATTCTCAGACGCAGGTAATCATATTACTGCTAAATAAACTCAGATTTAGTGAATAAGATGCTATTCTTGAAAAGAAATAGTATCATTTTAATATATTTCCTCCATTAGAATAATTAAAATGTAATAGAAAATGATATTTTACATTTAATAAAAAACTTTATAAATAAGTTGAATATATATCTAACATCGTAAAAAATTTAAAATTGAATTGATTCAAACCAGTTCTTAGAACCGGTTTCGATTCAGGCTGAGCATTCGAATTGACCCAGTTATCAATTATAACCAGTTTAAACCAGGTCGAATTTTTTGAAAATATTTAAAACTGATTTTCAGAAATAGAATCGGTTCTAATCTCTATATGCTACTGTGACAAATTGACTAATCCAATTCTAAAGAAATCGCCCTACACAGGTCAAATGAAGAAGTATCAGTATATTACATATTAGGTAAACATAGGAACAGATCAGAAAATTGATATTTACCAGATGGGTTTTAAACATATAAAGTAAAAATCAACATACTTATTTGCATATGATATACTATCACATAAATACCAATATGTGTAATAAAAAATTGGGCTTTTTACAGAAATATATTAGTTAACTGATAAGTTTTATAAAAGCTTTTGATATATACATAATATTCAAAAAGCTTACATAGACCTATCATAGACCTATCAAAGTCCTATCAAAGTATCTGATAAATCCTCTAATTTCTTATTATTCTAATTCCAATTTACTGCACGTTTAAATAATTTAAATAATTTAAATATAGTGCGAACGGCTTAATCACATCAAATGGTTAAGCCACCGCTAAAATTTATGCCAATCACTACCATATTTAACACGTAATTTATTGGTCGAATTTATATCACGTGATTAATTCATGTCACATGATTAAGGAATTTCACGATACTTTCGTGATATTTTCGCAATATTTTATTAACATCCGATAGTTTTTATTCTTTTTAATGAAATTTCAATGCCAAAACGAAGTAAACAATCCAGACATAATCGAGAAGCTAT